CCATCTTCTCAGTATGTCATTTGGAAATTCTATTGGGAGCAATAGAATTCACAGCCCTGGGTGCATAACAAGTCTGGTTGTGTTCAGACTCAGTGCATCTAGCAAAGAAGAAAGGGTTGAACACTACCATAACCATAAACTTTATGAATTTCTATTCCCCACAAGAAAGGACCACTTTTAAAACCAGAGAGCTATTCCTGGAAGCACCATTGTTCAAAGGGGAGGACAGGGAAGTTATGTAGAGGCAATAAAAGCTATTTAGTGCTTTACCATAATGTGCACCTTCAATTCAGTATTAAACTTGAAAAAAATAAATTCACTGGATTTTAAACTGTTCATCAAAAATCACACAAGCAGTTCAGTTTTTTTCAGAGACGAAACACAGTGGTACCTGCTAGTTTTTAACATGGAGAGGGTTTAATGACATTTTCCATTACAAAACTGTAACTGTCTGTGCTAATGTTGTCAAACATGATGACGACAATGACAAACTTCAAAAATGCAATTGCAGAGGTATCTAAGACAAGGCTGTAAGGCACATTTACTGGTAAGTCCTGGAATAAGTTCCCAAATCACTATGTCTGAGGACATTGCTTTAAATGCCCCCTAATTCAGCCTTCCTGTTTTAACTGCCTTTTCTTCATGCGGGGGAGCAGCATGAAGACCTACTGAATTTAGTACTGGGAGTGCTGCGCTCCTGGAATGATCCCTTGATCCATCTGGCCTCTGAAGTACAAAGAATCAAAGAAGCTCCAGACACCATCCTCTGGAAGGCTGTGGAGATTGAAGAACAAAACAAGCGGCTTCTTGAAGGAATGGAGAAAATAGTTGGGCGGGTAAGTATTACATCCTTAGCATCCTTCCAGCCTGCTGCTGTAAGGAAGACACATACAGTGACAGGCCCTTCCTACCTGGAACAGGAAAGGAAACAGTAGATAAGAAGAAAAAAAGGGAGCCAAGATAGCTGACTCTGAGAACTTCTCAGATTTCTTCTTTCAGCTTTCTTTTCTTCTGCTATCTTGCAATTTCTGAAGAGACAATGTGATGTGACTGGCATAGCAAAAGCCAGCGTTCTCCCAGTCCTGCTACAAGGGAAGGTGTGATCATCAAGACTGTTAATTGTCATTCTATCTTCAAGTATTTTGACTTTGCAATCCTGATTTTTTAGGGATACATCTGTGGTTTTTCACACGCACATATCTATACGTATGTTTTAGCATATTTGCAGACACCTGTACACATGCAGGTATGGTGTATGGTTTTCAGAAACAGGTGCTGTGTTTAAAGCTGTTCTGGAAGGCTGGGCTAACGCAAAGATGTGGCACACAGCAAAGTAACTGTGGGATCTTTCATTTCTCCTTTCCCACCATACTGGTTCCTCTGAACTCTGCCTCGGTTCCCCCTACACTTGTCAGGTTAGACAACAAGGCTGTTGTCAGACACAACCCATACTTGAACACCCTCGTTATCAGTAATTCATTGAAAGCTTTCCTGAAGAAAATCAGCTCTAGCTTGTTTATTTTTAAAGGGGCCTCTGTTAGTCCCTGAATATATCATTCTGTCAGTGAGCTGGATGTTAACAAGAGGCTCTGACTTTACTGGATTTTGCTTGTGCTCTGAACAGTTGAACAGCATTAAGAGTGCCACCATCACTGTACCCACCACCTCCCACTGGATCACTCAGTCTCTCTTTCAGTTCGGTGTCTGTTTACTCAGAAACATTGGCCCATCCAGGCCACAAATGCATTTATCAGTGCAATCAAACACCTACCTATCCCATATCCACGTGCAAAAAGGGCGCAGGCGGGGATCCAAGGTACAAGTAGAAGTCAGGTTATGCTGCAGTTACCCTGTCACCACCTTCTCATTCACGTTATTTACAGAAGGCTGAAGACAAGACTGGCAAATTCATTAGTGTCAAACCATAGTTTTCAGTGATAGTAGTCTATCTTTTTTTTTTTTTTGCCTGTTGCTTAAATGGAGTGATACACAGATACTCTCTTATGTGCTTTTACAAAGTCTAACTATTAGGCAATAGGGAAGATGCACGATCACCAACAGGCACAGACTTACTGCTTCTACTAGAGGTAGATTCCTGTGATACAAGAAAATTAATTATGGTCTCTTTCAAACAAGGACACCTAAACCAATCTTCACCTCAGATACTAACTCACTCCGTGAGTTCCTACTGTATGATCCAGTATTTTGTATTTCTTTTTTAACAGAATCTGAGATACAGTACATCTGAAGATGTTCTGTTGACAGATTTGTCTGGTAATACGTTCTTGAAGCTGCCTGTGTCAGAGAGATCACCTAAGAGATGAGCTGAGACAAAGCTGGAGAACACAAGGAAGTTCTAGGAACAAGTGCTAGAAAGATTTCAAGGTGGAGGGAGCTAAAAAGAGATGTCACTGATGAGTCCATGCATGAAGGTTTGACTTCTCTGCAAAGTCAGATTCCACTGGACAGGGGTTAACAAATCAGTTCTCTTAAAACACCGCTGACCCAGTTAAGCTTTTTACACGTTTTAGGGAAATAAACAGAGAAATCTGACAAATTCATTCAAAATCTGCTTGAAGATACAGAGCATGACACAGAATAGCGGGAACCCTAACAGGAACACTTTCCAAGCCATACACTCACAGCCAGCATTCCTCAGGGCAGTAACTCAAACGCTCCGTTCTACACCCCGCCGGGTCACTCCTGTTCACCACATACCATTTTGTGGGTTTAGGTTCATTCTGGAGGGATCGGAAATGAAGTCTCCTCGCGGTGGGACGGCCTCCCATCCCTGCAACTCGCCGACGAGGACTCCAGACTCTTTGCCTTTTACAACCTGCTGCATTGCCTCCGCCGAGACTCCCACAAAATCGACAACTATCTCAAGCTCCTGAAATGCCGCCTAATCCACGACAGCAATTGTTAGCTCCTCGTGGGCCTCATCGCTCACTGAAAGCATTGGCCAGTGTTCTTGTTGCTTTGCCCCTTTTCGTTGCAAATTCTGTGACAGGTCACACCGCACAGCCTCGGGATCACCAGTAACTTTCAGGCACGTTTGTGTGAATTCCGGCTGCGACTATTAGCACCGTTTATCTCGGGTGTTTTAAAAGGTTACAAATTACTTGTACGACAAGGGTGCACTTTTCTGTCCAATCTCCTCACCTAGTAGCATTTCAGTGATAACAAGATCATGCAGATACAAATAAAAAAGTTATTAAATCCAAAAGTGCATAGCACCGAGTGGCATCAGTGAATGAAAAATAGCTAATATAGTTTAGACCTTTAGCAGTAGCTTCTTTTGGATCTCAGTCTCCAGTTCCTGAGGACAGGATATCTTACTTCCATTGCTCTTTACTCCCCTCCACAAAAGAGAGTTAAAAAAGGACGGACACTAAAAAGCAGATTACTCACCTATTACTCTAAACTATCCTAAACTAAAAGTATGGTCTGAAACAAAATCTACTTGGATTGATGCTTTTACTCTGTACAAAACTGCCTGAGTAGGGGAGAGAAAGGTGAGAAATCCATCCTGGCTAACATAGCCATTGATTGCCGATGCAGTACATGGAGAGAGAAGACACATCCGGAATTTTAAGGACAGAGATCCAAGTATATCTATGTCTCTATTGACTATTTGGAGAAGAGGCATTTCCAAAGAAAGGTTCATTATGTTTGAGGTAACTATCTGAAGGCAAAGGAACCAATAGGTTCCCGTACGTCCCAACAGGAAATGCTGGGCATTTATATCATCCCCACCTACCCTCACTCCTCACAAGTGATGTGGTGGTTGCAGTTGCTCAGAAAACTTTCAGACCATACAAAGGCACCAGCTGAGCTAAGGTGTCTGCTGTCCTAAACCCAAAGTGTTTCCATTCACCCTGGGAAATAGTGACACTCAAAGTTTTTAGGGCACTCATTTCAAAACACTACAGTTAAACATGGGAAAATCAGAAAGACCAAACAATTGACTATTTTTTTTAAAAATCTGGCTTAGAGTCACATAGCAAGTAGGAAGACAAGCTTGCTGCATTGCTCCAGAGCTGAGCAGCTTGCAGGAAGAGTGAAACACCAGAGAAGATGGGTTTGAGGGCTTAAGCCTCTCATTACCATAACAGAATAAGCACAGACATAATAGGTATTTACGTAAGAGATGAGACAATACCAACTGCTAGAAAGGTCTAACTTTAGCCATCTCTATGAGGATGTAATGATACTTGCATTTCTAATTCTGTATATATATATATATATATATAATGGCCTTCTAATCTCTTCATGTTTTCAATTACTGATTGCCTCAGGCTTTATTGGATAAGTATATACTAAGCCCATTTTTAATACATATAAAATCATCCGTACAGCAAACAAATTCCTCATTGGACAGTCATGACTGACGTCTTCCATAAGCTCTGAAATGCACAGAACTTGGGCCGTATGCAACAGTAATTTAACAACACACAGCTGTACAACACAGTCAAAGAAGAAAATGGGTAAAATTGGCCAGGCAAAATGCAAGTGCCCAGACTAGAATTTAATGTGATCATAAGATTCTATTTTCTGTTGAAAAGCCAATGGGAAAAAAAGCATTTTAAAGGGAAAAAAGAAAAAAATCCCTTTGTAATTATCCCAAGTGTTTAGAATTACAGTGTGAATTCTTATTCAAAAGAAAACACGAATAATGGGACTAGTCTGTATTGAGCTGGAAAAACTATTATATCTTGCTGAGCAAACTCCTACCTCACAATCTCTGTAGAATTCAAAAGCAACTTGATTAATAGGGCAGATATTCATAATTTTACACTTACATCACTAGATCTAAAACAATGACTTTCATTATCTACTTAGAAATTACAGTGCTAAAACAATCGTTTAAAACTTGCATGCATTTGCTTTATTATAGCTTGGTTTAGCTGAATTATGAGTTTTTAATTTCATAAAGAAAGAAGAGAACGACAAAAAAAAAATCTAACAAACAACCAAAAAGCTATCTGTTTTGCAGCTGTTTAGTTAAAGGGGTATTTAAAAGTGATCTGGTTAATATTTTGAGTCATGGCAGCTGTCACAGAGACAGAAAGACGTTGAACCCCATGAGCACATTCAAAGCTACACCTTCATTGGCCAGGGTTCTGGCATGGACAATGCCTTCAGACTCCCAATGTTCACGCCACAATAGAGGCCAATTGTCAATTTGCTGTTTTTCCAGCTGCTAATAGGAACCATACATTCTTATCTTGCTAATATTTTGTCAATTAGTGCGTGTTCATAAGACCTGAGTGACTATTCCCTTTCATCCAATAAAAACAGTTGCAGAGCCAATATCTTATTTTACACAAAACTCAGTTTAGAACGAGCATGTTCTTTCTCGGTGAAAGAAACTGATCTCAATAAGAATTTTCTTCCAAGTGTGTTAACTTCTGGCTGCTTCAGGTTTCTGGCATTCGAATGGCTAGTTTTGTAATTATTTATTCAATATCCAAATTGACCATATTTAAAACTCTGCTGGTTTCTATACTCCTGTTCATTTGAAGTTGTCTAATGGCAGGAACGGAAAGGAAAGGTCCCCATAGGTGAAATACAGGCTCAGTTCCACTGCTTTTGAAAATGGTGTTGAAGCTTCCCTAGATGGCACTAAATTTAAGGTAAGACCTTGTGACACCAAATCTAAATGATACTAAGTTCAAACCAATTCATCACTGAGAGCATCTCTCACTGACCACAACAGAGAACACAGATATGTAAAATAAAAATCTAACTTGCTATTTATGATTTTGTCTAGACTCTAGGAATACGTCCAACCATTGGAGCAAACAGAAATCATTTTGAGGATCATTTTGAAGCCAATAGGGCTCTCTACTGTCCTTTTTTTTTTTTTGTTTTTCAGATCCTACAAGAAGCCTCCAATGGTTTAACCTCTAGCAGGAAAAAAAAATAGACACTATAATTCATCTGTACAATACAGTTTAGCTTCACAATATTATTTCAAAGATAATCCACAATTCTAATAACAAGCGATACGGTGTAGAAACCACACATACCTTCTAAGTTTAATTTCTGAACAACAGAAAATCTGAGGGCTACATTTTGAACTGAGTCTGCTGATTATAAATTAAATGTGTACAATAAACAAATTATGTCAGAGACATAAACTTCATAATCATACTTATGTATATACCCATACACTATAGAAATCAAATACTACGATCATGCATGGGAATAGCATCACAGGCGTACACATTCCCCCTGAAATTACTGGGTTTACTGATCTGTAAAGCTATTTACATCCATGACTATTTCTATCTCAAGCTCTTAACAACTTGTGCCTGCAAATTACTTTGGTAAATCTTGAAGACTGAAACTGAGCCTCAATGTTCAATTAAAATTTAAGGCTATCTGTAGGTTTATATTAAGTGTTAAAAAGAGCTTTAAAACCAGTTTTAAAACATAATGATAACTTTTTGATGTTCCTTATGCTCGTATCCATCTTCAGGAATGAAACTAAATTCAAACAAACATCACTCTTGGAAAACAGTAAGAATGTCAGCCATGGTTTTTTAACTTTTTTCCCCCCAAACAACTCAGTGACTATCAGATAACATTTAAACAATATCTACTATCATTGGGATTTTAAAGCTATATTTAGATGTATCACTCCATAACTGGACATTTTAAAAATGTACATTTTTCTCATAGTGATTCTTCATTTCCTTTCATGTATTCAACTATGAGGAGGAAATAACAAATGAGTAATTGTGCCTCGTGTCTGCTGAACTACACCTTTTTTCCATCCAGGTGAAAGCAGTGCAAACTGTTCTTATCTTTGGTGGAAAAAAGGGTTCAGACACTTCTGCCATTTTCTTTTTTTTTTTTTTTAAGGTCCAACAGACAGATTCTATGGAACAAAAAGAAAATACAATGTCATTTTAAAGGAAAATATAGAGCCCACCTTTCAATCTATAATTTTATTGTGCATTGAGGGGAAAAAAACAAACCCTGTTGCTTAATTTATCACAACTTTTCTTTTATACCATCAAATTTATGCTCTTTTCATCATTCAAGAAGCACTAGAATCTCATGTTAACATTCTGGTTTTTGGGGAAGAATAAGTTGTCATGGGATACTGCCTTCTAATTCATGCGTCCAAAAAAGAATTACACAAAATAATCACTTTTTGTTCCTTTCCCATGAAGGAGTTCTGAAGTTCCTTCATTGAGGAGTAACATTTTATATCAGTATTGGCCAGTCCACATCATCTTATTTTTCTTCCTCAGTACGCAGTGCAAGTAGTAACAAACTAAGTGAAAGGAGGTTACAGAAAGACTTTCAGGGTCACAGAAGCACTTGGTCTCTGGCTCAAGAAGCACTGATGTCTAGATAGACAGATGTTCAGTTCCTATTCACACTGAGCCTTGCTAGAAGTCCTGAGGATATGTCTTGGACAGAGACCTTTACTGTGAATTCATATATTTCACAATCATTTAGAAAATGATCCCATAGACGTTACTCAAAATTTGTTAAAGAACACTTTTACAACAAACACTTTTTAAAATTTTATCCAGTCTGCTACCAGAAAGTGTTTTGCCAAGCATAAAAATGATTAGTATTTACCAATAATATTTAATAGTAGTAGTCCCTCAAAAATCCACTTTCCCTGCCAAGCATCACCACACTAATCACGGGAACACTTTCCCCTTTTTAATAAATGATAGGGTTCATTACACTGAAGAGTTCAGATCGCTTATTAATTCACAAGTGACAGTGTGAGTCATCAAAAATACTAAGAGCCCTCACTCTAGCATATCAAAGATGCTACAAAACTTGTACCGTTTGTGCTACACACCACATGTTGCAAAGGAGTTTGCAGAATACAAAATAAAGAAGATGCACATGCACTCAATGAATAGGAATTAGTTTGTTCACTAAATGACTTAACTCTAAAAATATTCCCATTCAATGATGGAGGTTTTTTCACTATCAAGCTGACTACTTCCCTCTGGCTTTCAGTGTCAAACAAGATCGGATTTAATAAAGAATATTATATTTTTTACAGTCTTATCAGAATTGCTAGACCCACACTCATCAACCAAGTCCCTGTTACTGTACACTAACTCCGAATAAGAAAGGGTTCTTCCCAGCAAGGTCCTGCTTTGCTTGCTTATAGTTCAAACAAGTAGGACTCAGACGTATGCAAGTGTGGTATATAAC